GTGTATAGTTTTTGGCGTTGTGTTGTAAATCCGCACTTTTGGCAGTGCATTGTTTCAGATACAGCCAAACCTCTGCATTCCTCCTCCTCCAGCAATAGTTCTGGAATACCGTCACACTCGGGGTGTGATCTTTGATGGTCAAGTGTAGCATGTGCACCTAGCTGTACTGCGGACTGAATGTTCACAAAACGGTATCCTCCTTGGTGATTTGTTCCACTCTTGGGCTGGGAGTGCTTTGGTTTTCCACCCTTGAGCTGGAGCTTGTCAACTGGAGTCATTTCTGCAGCTTTTGGGCGGAGTAACATCACATTTCTGCTCTTGGTCTCTGCTGTTGGAAGCGCCTGCCTGAGAAATCCTTGCTCGTCTCTAGGAAGTCAGTTCAAGTTGCTCATATGTTGGTCGAACACACTGTGGCAGTTCCATCTCTTGAGCTGCACGTTGCATCTTGTTTGGAGACAGCTGGTGGTTTGCTTGGAACCAAGTTTTCTTCTTGAAAATTCCACGTCTAACTCGCCCCATTGTACAATGAAATATCTTGATCAGTGGTTTTCTTAGTGTTGCTGGAAAAAATATGGTCATCCAATAACTGATATTGAACTTGTATCGATTTTTATGCATGGTAATGGGTATTTGTTTGAATTGGTTGCCAAGTCAATTGAAGTTTTCAATTGAAGGTCACATGATACGTCACTCTGTGCCTGTGTGTGTCCTTATAAGTATGCCACTTGGAAAGGCTGCTATCCCATGGGGGCAGTTACCTCATTGTTTCTATGTGTTGTCAGGGTCACATTTCAGTGGGGAGATTCTTAGCCATTAATTGCTGTAAACGCATCCTAAGTTGCAAGGTTGTCATAGTAACAGATTAAAATGCTGCCATTTCCATTCCTCCTTTGGAAGTCACCCCTTTGTAAATGTTTCAAGCACAGAAGCTCCTGACAAGGAGATGTTATCTGTGGTGGTGGTGGTGAGGGGGTGTGAGTTTGTTTCTGCCTTCAGTTGGGGACCCTGAACAATAGAGGACAATAAGGTCCCCCGATAGACAGAGGGTCCCCGATTGACAACTGTGTACAAAACATATGGGTGGTCTTCTAAGAAAGTTGAAGTACAAACAAAAAAGGAACAAAAGGGGGTCCCCAGTTGCAGGCAAATACACACTTGTGTGTGTGTGGGGGGAGGGCTTTTCCAGTGAAAAGTAAAACTTTCATTGGCCATAAAGATAATGACTGAAGAATCTCCTCTGGATCTCAAACATTACATTATTTGCTTTTCAAATTGAACCCTGGCCAATGATGCCCGAGAATTGAAAGTGAAGTAATCAAATAACTGTGTAGAGTGTAAACAATACACCAACTAAAACATATACCCTGCCACCAAGCCAAACTAGCCCTTCTGCATTCGTCCAAAAAGGAACTATAAGATGCGAATACATTTCTGCAGATATTGCAGACTCTGTTAACACTAAAAAGAAAAAGCAGTCTTGCTGTTTTCAGACTGGGCAGAATGCTATAGGCTGACCTTGAACATTTAACCCCTAAAGTGCCAATGGATCAATTTTTTTCATTTTGTCCCTAGAACTGAGGTTTATACTTTATTCTTAACCATCTAAAGTTCATTTTCTGTGTGGTCCTTCAAAATTGGTGTATATAAAGGGTGCAGTCTACTAATTCAAGCAATAATTTCCGCCAAGCTCATTAGCATTAAAAGTGCCCCCGCAGTATCTTTTGAAAAAGGGGATTGTTTGGCCCCCAAAATGGTGAGATTGTGTAAATCCTTGCCAGGATCAAGTCCCTGGT